TGTAATAATTGATTACAGGGAAAATTTTGGCATGTTGTGTGAGTGTTTTGTACAGAGGTCAAGGGGTTGTTAAATGTCAAATTTTTGATCTAATTAAATTTGTGTAGTGACAAGACCATCAGCAAGTTGATTTTAATGTACAACCTACGGGTGTACAGGGAGAGAGACAGGAAAAATATATACATTTTATCAAACAATAGTATGTTAACGGTTAAAAAAATATTCTATAGTCAAAATCAAAAATAAAAGGTCAATGACTGAAATATGATAATATTAATGTACATATGAAAAAGGTTTAAGGATTCATTATCTTGATTTTACAATATTTGTATTTCCATTGGAATCTGATTTATACAGTAAATACCTATTCTGTTTTCATGGAAAAGATACTTTGTTTGAATAATAATGGGTGTCTGTCTGTAAATTTAATTGTTTATCTTAATGTAAATTTAAGTCTGAAGGTTCAATGTCAATGAACATTCTAAGTACAATTATATAATTCTTAGTATTGTATGATTGAATATGAGATTTTTGGTAAGGTAAAATTTAAAGCACACATGGACTTCCTAAATATTTTTTCTACGAATAAAAAAAAAGCAGCAGGGAGAGGGGTATAATGAAGATCATAATTTTTTTTATTACACTTTATTTTTGTGAGTTCTATATTTGGTATTGTAAGGCGAGACTGCTGTATACATCCGATGCTTCATGTGACTAGTAAAATATATGCGAGAATAATATTCTTGTGAAAAGCTCATGTTGTATAATAACGCAAAATAATTTCTCGTAAAAAAGTGATTTCTAATATGCGGTATAGTTAAGGCCTTTAGAAAAATGGGACTGCACCTGCTGTCACACAGTTCCGGTTTTACTCAAAAGACAATAAACAAACATTAAGAGTTTAAAGGTGCACGGAGACAGATTTTAAGTAATGGCGGTGAGCAAGACGGACGTTTGGTAGACGGCTCCGTAGAGACTGGCAATATTGGTGTAGTACCCGCTTTATACATATCAAAAGTATGTTTCTATTTTAGACACTGAAAAAACCTCTACTTTTGTGAGTTATTATTGATATTTGTCGTTTGTGGGACATAATTTATGGAGAGTTCCGTGTTCGAGTAGTGCACGTGAAAAGTGTTCATGTGAATCGGTTCAGTGTAGTGTTGTGCAGTAAACAGATTACCGGTGCTTGAAAACAAAACTTGGGGTTTAAAAATGTCCGTCAGCCAGGGTAAAAATAAAAGTCGGGAAATAGGAGTGCATCTGCCAATGTTAGTATTAGTGATGATACAATCGGTGAAAAACAGTCGGAAAAACAATCAGAAGGTGGTGAGATATTGAAAAGTATATTGGCGGATCTAAAATCTTTGAAAGAAAGCGTCAAGAAAACGGTGAAAAATGATGATCTGAAAATTATTGTTAGTACCATTGTGAAAGAAATCATTTCTGACCACAATAAAGAAATGGAGGTAATGTATGTATCGTTAACGATATTCCGGAACTTTTAGAGTCGGACATTATTTTTCATTGTTTACAGTCAACGGAAGTTTGTTTTGTTTACCTCATGGATAGACGATCCTGTGTTTGTGATATTATAGCTCAGTAATATTTATTTTGGATCCATCAATGTGTAAGTAGACACTGTTTTTGTGACTAACGCGAAGTACGGACCAATGATTATTGTGATTATTGTGTTGTTAAACTATACAGTGGCATTCAGTATAACCCACGCTGCTCTGAAAAATCTACGGAACGACGTTATCATCATAATGTGATTATATTTTGTTTTATTTTAAATTCAGGTTGAAACATTGGAATAAATCGTTACAACATATGGTTTAATTTGTTACTGAGCCATACATTTCAACACATTGGAGAACATGGGAGAGGAAATTAGGAAGATGTTACGGAAAAAGCGAAGTACAGCAAAGGGAAGGTTCCACAGAATATATGGACTCCTTTTGGAGAAAATTCAGGATGAAGAGGAATCAGATATTGTCAAACAGATGCTCAGTGATTTGGAACAGTCATATAAAGATATGGAAGTACGACATAGTGAGTACCTAGAGAACTTTGATTCAGATGATGAAAATGATAAACCAAAGATGGACGAAGCAAACCATGACATGAACACTTTATACAAAGAGCTGTGTAAGGCCAGGTCCCTTTGTCTCAAATTAACTACCAAGAAAATCACATCGCAAGAGAAATGCGTGAAAGAACAATCCCTGAAAGTGAAAAAATTAGATCCGCCACACTTCAGCGGCAAGATTAGAAATTACCCGAGTTTTAAGTCAGACTATTTTACTCACATGATTCCAACATATGGAAAAGATCCCTTTGCTTTGAAGAATTCCTTATCTGGAGAGCCTTTTGAAATTATAAAGGGAGTAGATAATGACTTTGAGGAAATGTTTAAACGTCTTGATCTGAAGTATGGAAGACCAGAAAAGTTGGCGGACACCGTTCTGGCCGACATAAGGGCATTGAAGGCAGTTCCTGAGGGAGACAGCACAAAGTTTACAGAAATGGTGGAGATAGTGGAGGGATGTTGGTTGATTCTGAAGCGGATGGGTTTGGAAAAAGAAATGGACAATGCCACCATGATCAGTGAGATTGAGAAATTATTACCCTCTATCCAGAAGAGAGAATGGGCTTTGCTGAAACTTAGACTGAAGTCTACAACGTTTTCTGATTTGTTGAGATTCCTTTTGGATGAAAGAGCTGCAATTGAATATATGACTTCGGATATTCGAGAAAGTAATAATGGCAGTGTTTCTCGTAAAGGAAAAATCCATACTATTACCAGCTCACACGAGAAAAATGAGAAATTTGACGATTCCTTTGTCAATGTTATACAGAGTCAAATGCAGCAAAATGAACAGAAAATGCAACAGGTGATTGAAGGATTAGCACAAGTGACAGATGCGCTTCTTAATGGAAAACAGAGGGGAGCAATACACGATGCTTCCAGAAATGATGTCTCTTTCAGGAAAAAATGTTGGTATCACGAGACTGACAATCATTCTATTGGGGACTGCACCGGTTTTTCTGCTCTTGATGGAGAAACAAAGATGGAATTGCTGAAACGAAACGGTGCTTGTTTTAGCTGCCTGAAAAGTGGACATCTATCAAAAAGATGTAATAATAGAAAGCCCTGTGAAATCACAGATTTTCGTCAACAAAAATGCGGCAGATTTCATCATCCTTTCTTACATGGGGTGATAGTGAACGCGAGCGCACATCATCACAGTGTAAACATTGTTAATGAAGAGCAGGGAAAGAAGGGAGTCATTCTCATGATCAGCAAAATAGAGAGTGGTAATATCCCATTGACCACCTTATGGGATCCTGGTGCTAATATTTCTCTTTTAACTTTTGAATCCGCTAGGAAGCTTGGACTCAAGGGGCGTGAAGTGACATTATCAGTGACGAAGGTTGGAAACACATCTGAGTGTATTCAAAGCAAAGAATACTTACTGCCACTGACAGACATGTATGGCAAGGTCTGGCAAGTTAAAGTATATGGAAGGAACAAAATTACAGCAGATATTTCAAAGGTGGATGTTCATGGAGTTGTGAAATTCTTTAAAGGGATTAAAGAGGGAGATATAGTGAGACCAGAAGGAAAAGTGGACCTGCTTATAGGAGCTGATTGCTGCATCTTATTGCCTGAGAAAATTGATCAAATTGGAAATCTTCAATTGATGCGAAATCAATTTGAATACTGCATTAGAGGAAGTCACGCCAAGTTACGAGTACCTGTTACAACGGAGTCAAATCTTGTGTGCATTCATCATACTTCTGGAAGGATAATCGAACCAATACGGTTAAACCATGAGAGCCTTAAGAATGCTGTTGACAATTTTTTCGACATAGAAAGCCTGGGAACGCATTGTGTACCAAAGTGTGGAAGTTGCAGGTGCGGAAAGTGTCCACCTGGAAATGGAAGCTACACGTTAAAGGAGGAACGAGAGTTACATCTTATAAAGGAGGGACTTCAGTATGATGAAGCGGGCAAGAACTGGACTACTACGTACCCATGGATTAAGGATCCAAAGTCTCTCCCCAACAATATCAATGCAGCGGTATGTCGGTTGAAATGCACGGAAAGGCGCTTAGAAAAGGCGGGAAAAGAGTACAGTGAAGCATATGGTGACCAGATTGCGGATATGGTGCAGAGAAGCGTTGCAAGAAAATTAACGGCTGAAGAGATGCAAACTTATGAAGGACCTATCCACTACATTCCACACCATGAAGTCTTAAAACCAAATTCCAAGACTACACCAGTGCGGATCGTATTCGATTCATCGTCCTCGTACATGGGTCATGTTTTGAATGATTACTGGGCAAAGGGGCCAAATGTTCTGAACGACCTTTTAGGAGTTATTATCAGATTTAGGCAAAGAAAAATTGCAATTGCTGGAGATATCACGAAGATGTACAACGCAATCAAACTGTCGGAAAGAGATCAGCACACACACAGATTTGTCTGGAGGGACTTGCAGATAGACAGACCACCTGATCATTATGTCTTAATGTCAGTCACATTTGGAGATAGACCCAGCGGAGCAATCTCTACCATGGCCTTGCGAATGACAGCAGAAATGAATCGGGAAGAATATCCAAAGGCAGCTGAATTTGTTATAAAAAATAGTTATGTGGATGACTTACTCACTTCAGTGAATACTGTTTGTGAAGCCAAGGAAATAATTCTGAACACTGAAAGACTTTTAAGCTGTGGAGGATTTAATGTAAAACACTGGATTGTTTCTGGTGATCAAGATGACCACTTTGCAGGATTGAATGTGTTATGTGCCGAGCAGGAAAACATTCTTGGAATGATTTGGTTACCCAAAGATGATGTCTGGATGTTCAAGGCAAAACTGAACTTTTCGCCAAAAAGACGTGGAAAGCATACAGAGGATGATATTGAGGATGGACAATTACATCTAATTCCGGACAGTCTAACTCGCAGGACAGGTTGCAGGCATATATGATCCTCTTGGACTGGTTGCTCCATATGTATTGTCTGCAAAAATTCTCATGAGGACCATGTGTTCCAAAGAAAATCAAATTGGATGGGATGAGCCTATGAGTGAAGATATGAAAGCCAAGTGGGTTCAGTTCTTTACAGGACTTTATGATTTGCTGAATTTAACATTCAAAAGATGCCTTATGCCGGAAAACACAGAAGGTGATCCAATGCTTGTTATATTTTCGGATGGAAGTCAGCAAGCCTACGGTGCATGTGCCTATATCAGATGGCATACCGAAGATGACAAATACACATCGAGCCTAGTGATAGCAAAGAATCGAATTGCACCAGCAAAGCAGTTGTCTACCCCTCGTCTTGAACTCTGTGGAGCAGTGCTTGCGTCTAGGCTGCGTCAAAAACTAGTAACAGAAATGAATTTCAAATTCAGTAAGATTGTGCATATTGTCGACTCCATGATTGTAAGAGCGCAAATACAGCGAGAGAGTTATGGCTTTGGGACATTTGTGGCAACACGTGTTGCTGAAATACAAAGTACATCTGATCCCACTGAGTGGTGGTGGGTTCAAGGAGATCAGAACCCTGCCGACATGACTACAAGGGTTGCAGTAGCAAGTGCTTTAGGGACTGACTCTAAGTGGCAAAACAGGTCAGATTTTCTGAGAACTCCATTTGAATTTTGGCCAATAAGTCAAGAAAATACCATAGACAGCGATCAGATACCTGATATTATTGGGGTGACAATGTCAATCACTTCTGAGAATCGTTCTTCCCATGGATGTGCTGTTATAGACATAGAACGGTTTGCCAGTCTGAAGAAGCTTCTTCGAGTTACCAGCGTGGTTTTAGCCATTGTGAAATGGAAAACATTTAGAGGTATTTGTAGCAAGATCACTTCAGGGACATCTATGGAAGCAGAAAGGATTTGGGTTAAGCACGCGCAGGAAAAGTTACCAGATGATTGCATGAAAAAATTTCAAAGACTTGGGCCATTCATCAATCAAGATGGGGTTGTTTGCGTTGGACAGCGCATGGCTGAATGGATCAAACGATCATGGAACCAGAGAGAATTCTTTTTGCTGCCAAGAAAGGGTCAGTTTACGGAGTTAGTTGTGCGCAGTGTTCATGATGAAGATCATGCAGGATTGGAGGTGACGTTAGCAAAAATCAGAAGCAGATATTGCATTCCCGGAGTTCGAAAAATCATAAGACGAGTCAAGGAAAACTGTGTTGTGTGCAGAAAGCGGGATAAAGTAACAATACAACAACAGATGGGTGTTTTACCTTCATTCCGACTGAATCCAGCACCTCCATTTTATAATTGTGCCGTTGATATGTTTGGACCATATACCATACGTGACACAGTCAAAAGACGAACACATGGAAAGGCATATGGGGTATTGTTTAATTGCCTCAATTGCAGGGCTGTGTACATCGATTTGGCGGAAGGTTACGACACATGAAGTTTCCTTGTTGTATTCAGGAGATTTGTATCACTTCGTGGCAATCCAAAGCGAATGATTTCTGATGCAGGCACACAGCTAGTAGCTGCAGGCAAGGAATTGGATATGTTTGAAGTAGAATGGAACGTCATCAAATCTGCGGACGCTCCATGGGAGAATGATTGTAGTGAATCCTTAATCAAGTCTGTGAAGCGATGTCTGCAAATTGCTGTTGAGGATTCAATTTTAACGTTTTCAGAGTTGCAAACTGTGTTGTTTGAAGCTGCAAATTTAATAAATGAGAGACCTATCGGGACCAAGGTGTGTGACCCAAACGAAGGAACATACTTATGCCCGAATGATTTGCTGTTAGGGAGATCCACTGTTCGAGTTCCTCAGATGCAAATGGAAGAACGTTGCAATCCACGATTGAGATGGAAATTCATTCAACAGCTGGTTGATACCTTTTGGAAAAGATGGATTAGAGATTACTTTCCCACTCTTATTGTGAGACAGAAGTGGCATACAAGCAGGAGAAATCTGAAGCAGGGTGATCTTGTGTTAGTCCAGGATACAAATCTAATTCGTGGAAAGTGGAAACTTGCTCAAGTTGCCGAGGCAGAGCCTGGAACAGACGGAAAGGTACGAGACGTCACAGTGCGATACAAGAACGTGGGACCAGGTGCAAAGTATGACGGGTGTACTGACACTGTCATTCGCAGATCTGTTCATAGACTTGTAGTTATACTGCCAGTGGATGAATGTGATTAGTTGTGAACTTGTCAAGAAACGTCGGGGGGAGTGTATCGTTAACGATATTCCGGAACTTTTAGAGTCGGACATTATTTTTCATTGTTTACAGTCAACGGAAGTTTGTTTTGTTTACCTCATGGATAGACGATCCTGTGTTTGTGATATTATAGCTCAGTAATATTTATTTTGGATCCATCAATGTGTAAGTAGACACTGTTTTGTGACTAACGCGAAGTACGGACCAATGATTATTGTGATTATTGTGTTGTTAAACTATACAGTGGCATTCAGTATAACCCACGCTGCTCTGAAAAATCTACGGAACGACGTTATCATCATAATGTGATTATATTTTGTTTTATTTTAAATTCAGGTTGAAACATTGGAATAAATCGTTACAACAGATGGTTTAATTTGTTACTGAGCCATACAATGTATGAGGAAAGAATAAAATCATTACAAGAAACTATTGGTAAGCAAAGATCCGACATAGAAAAACAGAAAACAATGAAATCAAACAAATTGCCAACTCAGCTCTGGCTAAATCAAACTGGAACGAACAATACTCGAGAAAAAACAACATTAAATTACATGGGGTGAAAGAAATTAAAGGAAAAAATGTCATGGAGGTCGCACAAGAAATTATTAAGGGAAACACAGGGGTGGAAGTTCCGGAGAGTGATATCATCGCTATACATCGTATTCCGGGAAGACCGGGTTAACAACGGCCAATTCTGATGAAAATGAGAAACAATACAGCCAAAACCAGGATTATGATCCATCGGTCAGCCATGAAGAAAAACACGGATTCTTCGATTCGCCTCAGTGATGATGTGACCTACTTGAACAGAAAACTGATAAATAATCTACTCGAAAACCCCAAGATCAAGGCTGCATGGTATTCAACGGGCACATCTATGGCCAAGTGGGGGAGGAAAAGGTGGTGTTTGACATCTTTGACGACATAGATGAAAAAATAAATCCTAAAGAAGACCAGGAGTAAAAGCTGCAATCCGGAAATTACTATATTACGCACAGGTTCTGAGATTACACGGCACAGATAAACAACCGGTATTGAGCTACTACCTATACGGACATTCCATACATGTGGTTAATGGTATGAATTATTGCCAGAACAATCCTCTACAGACATTACTGTAACGCAAAATATGTTTTATTTTTCTTTTCATATATCCAAATGTAAGGCTAAATTTCTTAAATTTTGCAGGTATAATACATGCTGTAAAGGCATGGATGAAAGCAACAGACACTAATGATATAATTGCAAAATTACCTAACCCATTAATTTTGTCCAGCACTCATTTTCTTTCAATGTGTAAAAAAACAAAACAGTTTTATGAATTAATCAATGTAAATGATATTGAACCCACTGGGAAAATAAGATGGAATGATATTTTTAATTTATGGGGAAAGTGAATGGAAAAGGATTTTTAAACCTCCTTTTAAAATTACAAAAAAAAATAGTAAACTGCAATGGTTTCAATACAGAATTCTAAATAAAATTCTAGGTACAAACTCATATCTATGTAAAATAAGGAAAAGAGATAATAACTTATAATCTTTCTGCAATATGGAAGAAGAAACAATAATACATATTTTATGGGAGTGTGACAATGTACAAACCTTCCTCAACAGTTTCGAAAGATATTGTGAGAAAAAGATAGGGTTGCAAATTTCATTTACAAAGCAAAGTTTTATTTTGGGATTTCTAGTAAAAAACAAAGACATTCATAACTTACTGTTCCTATGGATAAAATATTATATATATATATATATATATATACAATGAGATGCTTAGGAAAAAATTAGTTAGATGTCAGACTTGCGACTTCACATATTAATTTCTTTTATGAAACTCAAAAATATTTAGCATATAAAAATGGTGACAGAGAGACTTTTGACACCAACTGAAATCAGTGGAATCAATTGTTTTTATAAAATGAAAAAGTTTTTTTTTATTTATGTAAAGGAATTAACATGCCATCTCTCTCTCTCTCTCTCTCTCTCTCTCTCTCTCTCCTTCCCCCTCCCCCTCCCCCTCCCCCTCTTTCTCTCTCTCTGAAAAAAAAACAATCTGTAATATAATAAATTGTGTATTTTGATTTATTAAAAAGATTGTGTAAAATAAATAAAGAATTAAAAAAAGAATTAATGTACATATGAAAAAGGTTTAAGGATACATTATCTTGATTTTACAATATTCATATTTCCATTGGAATCTGATTTATACAGTAAATACCTATTCTGTTTTCATGGAAAACATACTTTGTTTGAATAATAATGGGTGTCTGTCTGTAAATTTAATTGTTTATCTTAATGTAAATTTAAGTCTGAAGGTTCAATGTCAATGAACAATCTAAGTACAATTATATAATTCTTAGTATTTTATGATTGAATATGAGATTTTTGGTAAGGTAAAATTTAAAGCACACATGGACTTCCTAAATATTTTTTCTACGAATAAAAAAAAAGCAGCAGGGAGAGGGGTATAATGAAGATCATAATTTTTTTTATTACACTTTATTTTTGTGAGTTCTATATTTGGTATTGTAAGGCGGGACTGCTGTATACATCCGATGCTTCATGTGACTAGTAAAATATATGCGAGAATAATATTCTTGTGAAAAGCTCGTGTTGTATAATAACGCAAAATAATTTCTCGTAAAAAAGTGATTTCTAATATGCGGTATAGTTAAGGCCTTTAGAAAAATGGGACTGCACCTGCTGTCACACAGTTCCGGTTTTACTCAAAAGACAATAAACAAACATTAAGAGTTTAAAGGTGCAC